AGTGCAGAGCGAAGAACAGCTTCCATTGAGAGAGGCCCCCAGCCCCACCCTTGGAGAGCAAATAGTTTTTCAGCCCCTGGGGTCCCCTGCCAAGACCTCCAGCCCCACAGAGAGAGAAACCCCCAGTCCGGGCCCCTTACAGCGAGATGAAATCAAGCAATCCCCACAGAAGAGTGGTCACCTATCTCTGAGCCTAAATCAACTAATAGAGGCTTTGCAGCAGTTTGAGGGGAAGCAGAGGCCAGAAGAGCTACAACCGGTGAGCTTAACGATTAGAGATGCCGAGCAACAACCCCCACTTGCCCAGCAGCCATTGAGAGCCCTACAGCAGCAGGAGGCATCCCCAGCCCCCGCTGGACAACAGCAGAGAATCCAGCAACCGCTGGATCGGCAGGCAGGAGGGGCCCAACAGCAACTGGGGGCACCATGTCAACTGCAGAGAATCCAACAACCGTTAGATTGGCAGGCAGGATGGGGCCAACAATAACTGGGGGCACCGCGTCAATTGCAAAGAGTCCAGCAACCGTTGGATTGGCAGGCAGGATGGGGCGAACAACAACTGAGGGCACCATGTCAACTGCAGAGAATCCAGCAACCGCTGGATCGGCAAGCAAGATGGGGCCAACAGCAACTGGGAGCACCACGTCAACCGCAGAGAATCCAACAACCGATTGACAGGCAGGATGGGGCCAACAACAACTGGGGGCACCACATCAACAGTATAGAGCCCAACAACTACTAGATCAGCAACAACTAGTGGTACCACATCAACAGCAGAGAGCCCAGCAACCATGGGACCGGCAGGCAGGATGGGGCCAGCCACAACAACCCCAGTGGTTCCCGCAACAGCCTGTGGTTGTACCTCCTTTCAAAGCAACCTTCGATGGAGATCCAGAAAAGCTGATTTTCTTTCTCAACCAAGGGCGCTCTCACTTGAACCGCTGGGCCAACCACTATCCGGACCCAGGCGCCATGGTCGACGTTATTGCATCCAACCTAGAGGGAGAAGCAGCTGAATGGCTGAATAATTTATATAGTGAACAAGCCCCTGAACTGGGAAATCCCCACCTCCTTCTGTTAAGTCTGAAAGAAAGATTTGAGGACCCATCCATGGCCCTCAAAGCAGCAAGACAAATTCACAAAATAAAACAAGCCGGAAGACCTGCCCTAGAGTATGTGCGGGAGTTCCGCAAATTAGCAGGCCGAACAGAGGGGTGGTCCGAACAATCCCTAGTTCAATACTTTGTTGAGGGATTAGACGATCATCTCTCTCAGGCCTACATCTACCGCGAAGTACCCGATCGGCTGCAGGATTGGTACCAAACAGTAGTGAAGTTGGACGTCAAGCTCTCTCGTTACAAGAAACCTCCCTCTCCTGAAATGGGACCAAAACCAGAACGACTCAGACAACAACCAACACCCTGGAGGCCCCCAACAACTGTGCCTACCGAGAGACCCAAACTACCCATAGGGTTGCCACTCTCCTGCTTCCGATGTGGACAACAGGGACATCGAGCAGCGAACTGCCCTATTCCCTACCCCCAACAACAAGGCAGACCAAGACCCGCAACGAAAAAGAAATCTGATCAACAACCACCGAGAGGGAAATCCAACCGAAACAAGCAAGAACGAGCTGTCCAAGTCACCTCGCCTGCACAGGAGGACGCCGGGACTAAGGCTGGATCCCCCCCAGCTCTACCCTCTCTCGACAGTGAGGACAAAGGGGAGAATGACCCAATGGTGAGTCGACAAATCCCGCCTTTTTCCCTAGCTGCCAAACTTATAATCCCTAAATCTGGAGTACAAATGAACTTAAATGTGCTAATAGATTCTGGATGCACCCGATGTATTATTAGTTTACCCTTTGCCTTCAAATTGGGCATTCGAGCAAAATCGCTCGCTGAACCCATGAGGTTTGAGCAAGCCGATGGGTCTCTCATGGGGGGGGCTCTTGTCACGCAAGTAACTGAACTTTATGTCTAGAAATAGGTGCACATTGGGAATTTATTCGCTTCCTGGTGGCTCCAAAAATGTCTGAGGCGGTGATCCTAGGGTTAGCCTGGTTAGACAAATGGAAACCATTCATCTGGTGGGAGAAAGGAATGAGAACCGTGAGACTACCTATAGGGCCTGATCCCCCCATTGAGTCAACAGATGTTGCAGGACACCTNTCTAGAAGGGAGCAAAGTGCCCTTTGAGGTATGGACAGATCACAAAAATCTAGAAGCACTGAAAACTCCCCGTAAGTTGTCCCCAAAACAAGTGCGGTGGGCACAATACTTTAACCGCTTCGACTTCACTCTAAAGTACATACCAGGGGGAAAAAACTTCTTAGCTGATGCGCTATCCCGACTACCCCAATACAAGAGCAAACGGGAAGAGGTCAATGAGGCAATCATCCCCAATCCGCAAATTGCCACTCAACTTACACCTCGCAGAGTCCCTAAACCTGATGACCCTGGAGTGAAGAAAATAAAACGAGAACTCCTCACCGACCAATGGTTCAAAGAAAATCAGACCTCCCTAACGTGTAGAGATGGTTTGGCTTACATGGGGGGAAAACTGTATTTACCAGAAGCCCTCCGTCTTAATGCTCTCAAACACAGCCATGATGTAAAACAGGCTGGATACTTCGGATATTTAAAAACCCTACACCTCACCCGTCGACAATTCTGGTGGCCGGGACTGAAAAAGGATGTGGAAAACTATGTAAAAAGTTGCACTACATGTGCCACAATGAAAAGAATCCCAGGGAAAACCCCTGGACTGCTACAACCCGTGGCAAACCCTTCTCAATCATGGGAAGAAATAGCTATGGACTTTATAGTAGACCTACCTGAAAGTAGTGGACACACTGTCATCTGGACTGTAATAGACCTATTCTCAAAGCAGGTTCATTTCATCGCCTGCAAAGGACTCCCATCCGCCCAACGTCTGGCCAAATTGTTCCTAAAGCATATCTACTGACTGCACGGCGCCCCTAAGCGGATAATTTCGGACAGGGGGGGTGCAGTTCACAGCGAAGTTTTGGAGAACATTCCTTACGTTAATTGGATCATCCCAAGGCTTATCATCTGCTTTTCACCCGGCCACTAATGGGGCCGCAGAAGCCGCTAATAAAATGGTGGAACAATATCTTAGATGCTATATTTCTTACCAACAGATGAACTGGACCGATCTTCTTCCATTTGCAGAAGTAGCATACAATAATTCCGTGCACAGCAGCACCGGATACACGCCCTTCAGAGTGGCCACAGGAAAAGAGTTCAACCCAATACCTGAATATCCTCAACCGCCCTCCGCTTCCCAGACACTTGACCAATGGGTGAGGGGGTGGGAAGAAGTTTGGAGAAATACAAAAACTGCTTTAAAAAAGACTTTTGAAACTTATAAAAAACAGGCTGATAAAAAGAGGGCTCCTCAAAGAACATTCCAAGTTGGGGAAAAGGTTTATTTGTCAACCAAATATCTACGCCTCAAGTTGCCAAGCAAGAAATTGGGGCCAAAATTCTTGGGACCGTTCCCCATAGTAAGAATCATCAACCCAGTCACAGTAGAGCTAAAGCTCCCTAAACTCTTAGGGAAAATTCACCCAGTTTTCCATTGTAGCTTGTTGAGTCCAGATTATAGAAGGTTATTGTGTCACATTACTCTGGCCAGGTCAGGTCCCACTTGGAGTACTGTGTTCAGCTGCAGGCATCATAGTTCAAAAGGGACAATGACAATTTGGATTAGATGGCCTCTATCTAAGAGATGGATTCTATGTCCTCGTTCAAATAGAACACTTCTGAACACCACAATAAAAGGAACAAAAAGCTGGAACACATTCACAGAAATGCTTTGAGAATGAGGGTGAATCATTTCCTAAGAACAGTTAAGGTATATTACATTGAAAAGGAAGACTGAGGAGAGATTTCATAAAGGTTTACAAATATTTATGGGTGTCATACTAAAAGCAGGCAAAAGACCAACAATTTTAAATAAAATGTTGGGAGGGAAGATGTTTTTTTGGCAGTAACTATAGCTAAACAAAGGAACAGTCTGCCTAAAACCAATGGGGATTCTTCTTTGCTGAGGGGTGGGATGGGGAGTTCAAATGGACTAGATGTCTGTTCAGTGGGGATGTGCACCAACTGAGCAGGAACGGGTATTGGATGAACTATACATTTATTTCAACTTGCACTCTCTACTTAAATCCCCATTTTTCTGAACACCAGTTTTGGGCCATGCATATACCATGTTTCCCCGAAAATAAGACTCGGTCTTATTTTTTTTGCCTCCAAAAGAGGCACCAGGTCTTATTTTCGGGGGATGTCTTTTCCACGCTCTCACCTTCCCCACTCTCACCATGTCCAGCCAGCCCACTTCTTCTGCAGCTGAAGGAAATGCCTCTGCAGCTGAGAATGGAGCTCCAGATTTATGTGCACGGCATCCCCCCCTCCCCGGCCTGCATTTTGCTGTCAGAGGCCTTCCGGAAAGGCCTCTGCAGCTGATAACCAAGCTACGGATTGAAACTGTCACTCGGTTCTTGGCTGCAGAAGCCTTTCCGGAAGGCCTCGGATGGCAAAATGCAAGCCGGGGGGCACTGCAGAAGAAGTGGGCCGATGAGGCGAGGCAGATGTCAATTCATGGGGGGGGGGACTGGTTGCAACAGTTAAGCGGATGTGGGGCGCATGAGGCAGCTCCACATCCCCAGCTTGATTTTTAGGTCTGCACCTCGCCCCAAAACTAGGGCTTATTTTTGGGTAGGGCTTATATTAGGCCCACACCTCAAAATCAAGCTAGGGCTTATTTTCAGGGCAGGTCTTACTTTCGGGGAACACAGTACTATTCTACTCTGTCTAGAACTCTCCTAATCTTTTCTGAAGTCTTATTTTTATGTTATAAAAGTCAGGAAATTATTGCAAGTAGTTATGATATGTAAACTTGGCTATAACCTGCAGTGTTATTTTTCAAAATTGCAATGATAAAGTTAAAAAAATATTTCAAGTGCAAGAAATGAACCAGTGTCAAATCAGTGATAGTTTATTTTTTATGTCTTCTCTTAAGCTGCAAAAGTAGGTTCACATTTTCATAATATCAGACTGACATCCTTGTCAACATGCTTAGCATTCACCATCTCTCATTCTTGCATACCATGAATTATATTCAGGAATTTTCAATCAGGACTCAGTTTTGTAATGTTTGAAAAGATTACTTGCTTGCAGCTCACCACATTGCCCTCTGTATCCCAGAGAGCTGGGCATGGTCAGCCAGATGGCGGAAGACAATTCGGCTGAGCCTCCATCTCCTTTTCAAACCTCTAGGTCGGGATGTCAGAACACATCGATTGTGGATCCGCACAGGGCAACTATCTCGGGGCAGATCAGCTATCTCCTTATCGGTAATTTCCTGCAACAAGTTTTTTAAAAATGTAAAATTCCCCTCCTATACTTAACCAAAGATTTGTACAATTATGTCACATGGAGTGAGAGTGAAGAATCTCAAAGACTGTTTTCAACTGGAACTGCCAATCCTAAACTGACATGGTAGGAAATCTGGGATTACAGGATTTTTAATCTGTATTTATTCTCTTCCCTGAATAAATACACTGAATCCTTCATATGAAGTCCTATAATCCTTTTAACTACTCCAGTAAGAATTAGATATGAAGTGGAACCATTGTTTCTCAACTAAAATATCCAAGATATCTCTGAATAATTAGAATTTTTTTGTATAGAATTTTCTAATTGCATGTTGTTGTTAGTTGTGAAGTCGTGTCCGACCCATCACGACCCCATGGACGTTCCTCCAGGCCTTCCTGTCTTCTACCATCTTCTGGAGTCCATTTAAACTCATGCCTACTGCTTCAGTGACTCCATCCAGCCACCTCGTTCTCTGTCATCCCCTTCTTCTATTGCCCTAACACATTAAAAGGATGTTGTTCAGTTGCTAAGTCATGTCCAACTTCTTGCAATCCCAGGGACCATAGCATGCCAGGGCCCCTGTCCTCCACTGTCTCTCGGAATTTTCTCAAATTCATATTCACTGTGTCGATGACATTATCTAATCAGCTCATTCTCTGTCATCCCCTTCTCCTTTTGTCTTCAATCTTTCCCAACATCTCAACTTTTCCAATGAATCCTCTTTTCTCATTAGGTGGTCAAAGTATTTGAGTTTCAGCTTCAATATCTGTCCTTCCAAAGAACAGTCAGGGTTGATTTCTTTTAGGATCAACTAATTTGATCTCCTTGCAGTGCAAAGGACTCTCAAGCGTCTTCTCCAGTACCACAACTCGAAAGCATTAATTCTTCAGCGCTTAGCCTTATTATTAAAAAGGATATTAGTAATTAAAACTAAAGGAGGAAAATAAGTTTTTAAAACTTAAAAAGAACTAGAATTTAACTGTCTGAACATAGCAATCTATTTTACATCATTTGAGATTCTTTAACAGAGGGGCACAATATCACATTCCCAATAAATACAATTAATGTAAGAGGATTATATATTATTATTATTATTATTATTATTATTATTATTATTATTATTATTATTATTAAACATATATTTAGTATTAAGATGCACCGGTGTCTACCCATCATGTTGGATTCAGCTGCTCAGAAACCTATCTGCCAGAGACTATCATCTGGCAGGGTTCCAGGAAGAGATGCTGCTGTGGTGCCTAGCCCCTGGAACAACATCCCACTAGAGATTAAACTTGCCCCAATCCTGCTGGCCTTTCACACAACATTACAAACTTAGGTTTGCCATCAAGCCTAGGGCTCAGATATAGCTTATTTCTTGGTCATGGTTATATTAAATATTAATAACATTTAGTGGTGTTAATGCTATTTTTAATTTGGGGTTCTAACTATTAATTGCCCAAAGTCAAGCATATGAGATAAATTTTCAAACAAGTGTTCTTGTTGTGCCACTTCATAATCCCTTAACAAAAATAATATGCTTCTTACCTGGAGTTCTTTAGGCAAAATTTTATTTTTCCTAATGCAATTCAGCCGTAATCTCTGATCTGCATAATCAAAAGCCATTTTTCTTCTCTTAACATCACGTACCATCCTCCAGTCCACATAATAACCTCTTATTTGACCAGCACATGGCATGGGGAAGAACTAATAAAAAGAAATTACAATCAGCTTTTGTTCAGGCAAATGGGTATGCTGATGCAAGTATTAATGTTTGAAATTTTTAAAAAAACAAAGCAATCATACTGGTCAACCTATTTTTCAAAGCACCTGAAGGCAAGACAAGAAACAATGGTTGGAAATTAAGTGAGAGAAGCAACCTAGAACTAAGGAGAAATTTCCGAACAGTGAGAACAATTAACCAATGGAATAGGTTACCTTCAGAAATCGTGGGTGCTTCATCACTGGAGGTTTTTAAGAAGAGACTCAAAAGCCACTTGTCTGAAATGGTCTAAGCCTAAGGTCTCCTGCTTGAGCAGGGGGTTGGACTAGAAGACCTCCAAGGTCCCTTCCAACTCTATTATATAAGGGCAGAGGAGTTTTACAGAACAATTTGCTACAATTTCTTCAAACTACAACAACTGCATGGCCAATAATGTGAGGTGTCAGGGACTGCACTTCAGCAATAAGAAAAGCTCTTAGTTTTAGCGTATCAACTGCACCTTCCGTTAACGAGTTCTAGCAGAGTGGCGGCAAAAGCAGAGAAAAATCACATTAGCCTCGGGTGCCCAATTCATAAGCTTGATTTTAAGGCACCTTCTGGTTAGTTTAGTCCGCGCCGTTTTAGACAGCATGTAATTCAGCTCTGGACGACTTCATTTTCAGTACCATAATACGAGCAAGATATAAGACCTTTAAAAAGGCTGCAAAGGGCAGGCCACACGAATCCCTCAAAGGACTCTTGGGAGGTCGACGGCTCATGCACAGCGTTCCAGCCCCCAAATCCCTGACTTTCAAGACTGGGCTTATCTCGGAGCGACTGTTGGGGGAAAAAAGCACCCGGCAGAATTGAAAGTTGACGTAACGAGGACAGCACGCTAAGTGAGGAACCGAGAGGAAAAGCAGCCGCTCCCGGCCGCGACTCTAACCTGCCGAAACGCCGATCGCAGCATCAAGGATACTACCGCCATCTTCCCTGTAGCGACACTATTTGAACTGCGCATGCGTTGCTCGCAACAAGGCAGAAGTTAACCCGCCAGTGCGTAAAAATGCGGAAAAGACGTGAAGGAAAGGGAAGCCGAAGTGGGTGGGTGACCGGAAGCAACGAGCGCGGTTCGTGGGAATGGGCGGCAAAATTTAACAAAATACGGAAGTTATGAATTGAGCTTTTTTAAAGGTTGAGTGTAGGAGCTCTTATTATTTGCATAGAATTAAAATCTCTCTCTCTCCGTTTGTGTGTGTGTGTTGTAATATATGCGTGTGTATATGTGTGCCTGTATGTATGAGTTGTGTATATATAATCTATCTACACATAACTTGCACAAACATAAAGTTACACCCAGAAGGCTAGATTGTGCCTGCTTTGCGTTCTCAAATAATTGCGTGTACGATTTACTGCCCGGTTGTTCAGATATTACAGGACTGCTTTCGTTGCAGCAGGCTAAAAGGGTTGTTTCTTTGGAAGCTTTTATTGAGAGACCAATCCATAACAAATCTCTGTGCGGCTGAATTCCCAAAATTCAGCCTCACTGGTAAACCAAATGTGGGTGGCTATTTTTTTATAAATTGTGGAAAGAAATTGCCCCTGTGATTCGTTTTTTCCAGCTGGGAGAGCACGATCAGGCTGATGAGCCGGGACACTAAAGTATCAGAAAGGAGGTTGATTTATTTCGGAAGCCAATGCTACTGGTAACAGCAGCAATGAGTTCTGGGTCAGCTGGCAAATTGGTTCATTGAATAAATGAGTTTTTATACAGTTTTTTACAACGTTCTGTAATCTGGAGGCTTGCTTTTGTGTATTTGTTATTTGATTTTGGTTAGCATGTTTCATGAAGGCTATTAATGCATGTAATGTGTCGGCTTCCCTGACTTAAGCTGGTCAAACAGATATAATTAGTTTTACCCCTTTATCTCTAGCCCGTCTAGAGCCTCTGGAAAGCTATTTCTGTAAATTAACAGGCTACATTCATTGTTTTTGCTTTCGCAACAGCTAACAGTCAAGATCATATGAAGTGTTAATACCACTTTACAATGCCTTGGTAAGGCCACACTTGGAATACTGCATCCAGTTTTGGTCACCACGATGTAAAAAAGATGCTGAGACTCTAGAAAGAGTGCAGAGAAGAGGAACAAAGATGAGGATGCAGGCTAAAGCATATAAGGGACGGCTGCTGGAATTGGGTATGTCTAGTTTAATGAAGAGAAGGACAAGGGGTGACATGATAGCAGTGTTCCAATATCTCAGGGGCTGCCACAAAGAAGAGGGAGTCAAGCTATTCTCCAAAGCACCTGAAGACAGGACAAGAAGCAACGGATGGAAACTAACCAAAGAGAGAAGCAACCTAGAACTAAGGAGAAATTTCCTGACAGTTAGAACAATTAATCATTGGAACAACCTGCCTCCAGAAGCTGTGAATGCTCCAACACTGGAAGTTTTTAAGAAGAGACTGGACAGCCATTTGTTTGAAATGGTATAGGGCAGTGATGGTGAGCCTTTTAGAGACCGAGTGCGGCGTTTGCCTTGCCACATCAGGGTGGGCCACTCATGAATCTTGACGAGCAAGTGAAGACAACACACAGGTTTTCCTCGAGGTGAGTGCGCCCAGAGCGTGTTCTGAGCTACTCTTTTATTTGGCAACATATATGAGGAAGTGAGCAGGTGTCAATACATAATTGGTTACATGTGTAGGAAAATAAGTAGGTGCTANATATTTTGCCGCAGTATGACATGTAGCTATTTCCTTTTGCTATAGCCTATTATGGTTACTTTGTTCACCTACTTGCTTATGTTGCAGTTTATTGCTAAACAGCTTTGTGCGGGGTTTTCCATGTCCTTGGTTCCTGTTTCATGTGCAGGCCACTGGCCTAGTCACACTGCAGGAGCCTGAACTAAACTTTTTCCCAACATCTCCTCTGTTTTTGTTTTAAAAGTAGGTTGCCTGTTCTGTGGGTTTGTGGTCTTCCGACTCCCTCCCATCCAGGGTGAGCATTGACCTACGTAATTGTATAGAATTAATGAATTCCAACCCATCGTCAGAGTCTAGTGTGCAGAGGGATGCTTTCTCCATATCTTCTTCAGATAGTACTGGTTGGTAATGGTGACGTTCTAGTATCATATTTTCCAAGGTACCTATTTTAGTTTGCACAAAGTTTTTTAAGCGAGATAAAATACAGGGGCCAAATGTACATGCAAAGAGTAACAATATCAGTGGTCCTGCTATGGCACTTATCAGGGTGGTCAACCATGGAGAAAAGTTGAACCAGGATTGAAACCATCCTTGTTGATCTTCCCTCTCCTTCTTTCGTTTATTCAGGCCCTCCCTGAGTTTGGTCATGGAGTCCTGCACTATGCCAGAGTGGTCTGCATAGAAGCAGCATTCCTCTCTTAAAGCCACACATAACCCCCCTTCTTTTAGAAAAAGTAAATCAAGTCCTCTTCTGTTCTGCAAGACCACTTCTGAGAGGGAGGTTAGAGATTTTTGTAAGTGAGAGATAGAAGTTTCTATTATCTCTAAGTCTTCATCGATGGCTGCCCTAAGGTTGTGGTATTGAGTATACTGATGTGCGAAAGAAGCCACTCCAGTTCTGCTCCTGTTAGGCCAAGTTTTACCAAAAGAGCTATTGTGAGAGTGGAGATAGGTTCATGCTTGTGTCTTATGAGTTCTGACCCTGAGTAGGTGTTATAAACTTCTTCTTCTGTGTGGATGTATGTGCGTGGTATGACCTGGACAAGGATGCAAAAGCCTTTGGTGCTTATCACATGGCCGTGGGCACAGGCTGTGAGGCCTGTAGAGCAGGCCCACCATCCGTCTCTAGGTGGTATATAAAAGAGTGTTGCGTTAATCTTGTTATGTGTTGTGTTGCAGTATTGTTCGTACTGCATGGGTACCTGTCCAATGCAGGTTCCCTTACCTGAGATTGACCGCAGTGTTTGTGAGCCATGTTTCCATCTGCATGCCTTGTCATCCGAGGAAGTGTTGTATGGAGAGACAAACCCTATAGCCTCGTAATATGGGGGTTGAACATTGTAGCAAAACCAGCAGGCTGTAGTAAGGTTGGGATTGGTGTTATTTACCAAGTGATAGGTGGCAGTGACGATGTCCCAAAGAGGGTTCCCAGGGCGGCTCTGTGAAGGAGAGTAAGAATAACCAATAGGAGTAGGCGAACTTTTTTCAGGAGTACTGGTGGGTTGTGGGGGTGGCACCTTACGGTCGGTTAGTATATTATTGGGGCCTACCGGTACCAGGGGTTCTATGGGGGTTTGTATTAGTTTTATGGTAAAGATGTTCCCTGGATCCCCGTCTCCATCATAAACACGACCTCCCCAAGTGACCCCTGCCTGCCACCCCCCATGTCTTTTTCCCTGAGTGGTGAAAGAAGTCTTAACCGGATTACAGTTCATGTATACTCCGTTTTGGCTTCGCTCACATTTTACATCCTCGCCAGTTCGTTTGAGCGTAATAAGATCATCTTTGAGAGGGGGGTCCCATGTTATTTCTCCCGTAGAGACGCAGTCCCAGTCTGCACAAAAGTATACGCTTTCCCCCCCACACTTTTTCCGGTGTGCTGTATCCTTCTTATGGCCAGGGCAGACATAGAGGGGCCATCTCTTGATCCATTTGTGGCTAATGGTGGTGTCCATCATCACACCAAAGTCAAAGTACAGGTCAGGAAACCAGGACCCCGGCACCACTATGGATGAAGTGGAGTTCAGGATGTCTGCGTGTGTGTCCAATACTACCCACGTTAAGTTTTGGGGCTGGTGAGGATTGCCTATAGATCTCCTATTGCGGAGGCCGAGGAAGGCGTCAGGATGCTGTTTTCCCAGAGGGAAGCTTGCCTTCGCCAGTAAGTAAAGTGTTGTTAGGAACATCGTCTCCTGGATCAGGCTTGGGATGATATGGGCGAACATGGCGACCTGGAACCCACAAGGTGTTGTCTGGGAGTGCAATGGCGGCGTACCCTCGTCCCCAGGTGATGAGCTGTGCAGGTCCTCTCCAGGTGAGATCTGGCAGGCAACGATAGTAGACAAGTGGTCGTTGGTCCACAGGAACAGGTGAGGCAGCAAAATGGCGAGCAGCGGCACAGCTGGGTGGTTGGCCCGTCAAATTCAAAAAGTTAAGAGTATAGAGACAAAGATTGAGAGTATCTTGCACAGCTGGGAGGCTAGGGGGTCCTTTCCTCTTTTGTTTAATGTGTCTGTCAAGAGCATTTTTTAGGGTCTGATTTGCTCTTTCCACTAGTGCTTGGCCTTGACTGTTGTATGGGATGCCAAACTTATGTTCTATTCCCCATTTTACACAAAATTCGGCAAAGGCACTGTTAGTATAAGCAGGCCCATTGTCAGTTTTTAACTGTTTTGGGCGTCCCAGCGATGCAAAGGTGCGAATACAATGATTGATGACATGTTTTGTGGTTTCACCTCTTTGAGGCGTTGCCATGATGAACCCAGAAAAAGTATTGATAGATACATATATATACTTCCATGGGGAAAAGGAAGGATATTGGGTAACATCCATTTGCCAAATTTGACAACACTCTGTCCCTCTGGGATTGACTCCCATGGGAATGGAGTGTGCCTGTTTACTGCAGGTGGGGTATTGCTGTAAGATAGCAGTTGCCTCCCCTGCGGTTATGCCAAATTGTTTAATGAGTGCCTTTTTATTCTGGTGAAAATACGAATGACTTTCCCATGGTGTTGGGGTTGAGAGAGCGAGTGCTTGAGCAGTTGCAGCCGCAGCTGGGGAATCAGCAATGTCATTTCCTTCTTGGATAGCCCCAGGGAAGGGTTGATGACTTCGAATGTGTGCCACATGAAAAGGATGTTGGCGCTTATCAATCAGATGTTGCAGAGCCAAGAAGAGTGAAAGTAAGGAAGATTCAATAGAAGGAGAGAGATAAGCCTGGTAGATAGAAGAAACTATTTGAGAGACATATAGGCTGTCTAATATTAAGTTGAAAGGTTGATTAGGAAATTGCTGAAACGCCAAAAGAGACGC